AAATTAATTCTGATAAATTGTAGTGAATTACCAAATATGATTTTTTTAATTTGTTTTTATTATTATGCTTTAGTGGATATTAATCATTTAAAAGAATCTCTTTTAGGAAATAATAATTTAGGTGTCTTGAAAAAAATATTTAAATAAATATAATATGATATTGTGAAAGGTAATTTGGCGAAGTTGAAATTTTGTAATATTTGAATTATTACTGTGACGTTGCGAATGGCGGGAATACGATGCCCCGAACAAAGGCTTTCTAAAACGGAACTGCTATGAAATGGGTTTTTGTGGATCCTTAACTTGATTTTAATAAAAAACACAACAGTTTTCATGTTTATCTTTTTTTTTTCTCATTTATTTTCTAAAAAAGCATGTTCGACATTCGACATTCGACAACATAGAACACTATTATTTATCTCTTTACTAAAACAACTTCCTATTTTGTTTTTTATTTTAATTTCTGTCTTTCAAAAACTAACTTGAAAACTCTTGGTTTAAAACAACAAAAAAATTTTGGAAAATTTCATGATTTTAGGTTTATTCAAGACTCTTTAATGTTTTTTTTTGACAATAAAACGTGCCAGAAAAATTGTGTCTGCTAAATTTCAATAGAAAAAGCACATTTTTTTACAAAATTTTGTCATAAATTCAAAGTATTTTTTTTGTTTATGGAATTATAATCAAAACTTTCTTATTTCAAAATTAATTTTTTTTTCTAGAAAGCTTGTTTTTTTTGATTCGACAACACATAACTCCATTATTTACTCTTTTCGAAAATATAAATGAAAAAAAAACTACATAAAACAAGCACTTTCTTAGTATTAAATAGAATTACATAACAAATACAGAAATTAATTTTGAATTTTTTTCTACGAGTATTTAAAATAGGTACTAGAATACACCAAATCTAACAAAAATTAAGAAAAGATATGGAATTTTCCTCTTACTAAAATAAGCTTAAAATTAATTCTGATAAGTTGTACTCAATTACCAAATATGAATTTTTCTATTTGTTTTTATTATTATGCCGTAGTGGATATTTATTATTTAAAAGAATTTTTTTAGGAAACAATATTTAGGTGTCTTGAAAAAAATATTCAAATAAATTTAATATGATATTGTAAAAGTTGAAATTGGGTAATATTCGAATTATTTCTGTGACGTTGCGAATGGCGGAAATACGATGCCCCGAACAAAGGCTTTCTAGAACGGAACTGTTATGAAATGGGTTTTTGTGGATCCTTAACTTGATTTTAATAAAAAACACAACAGTTTTTATGTTTATCTTTTTTTTCTCATTTATTTTCTAGAAAAGCATCTTCTTAGATTCGACAACATAGAACACTATTATTTATCTCCTTACTAAAACAACTTCCTATTTCGGTTTTTATTTTAATTTCTGTCTTTTAAAAAATAAACTTGAAAACTTCTGGTTTAAAACAACAAAAAATATTTTTGCAAAATT